CTGAACAGGTATTGCTTTCTTAGCACATTTTAACTACTCTTTATCGGCTTTGCACACACAACCCTCCTCTAATCAATATCACCCTTAGAGGGCAAACAGCTGCATGTCACATTCCCTGCAGCCACACAACACCTTCTTTTCCCTAAGAATGGGGGTGAGCAACACAAAACCAACCACAGAAAAGACTGGCTGTCTGCAGGCAGGAGAGGGAAACTCCTTTCCACATTGCACAGGGGAGGCAGCGCACAGAGCCAAGGAGGAGAATGGGGAACACAACCCAGCTGCACAGCTGACCCAACAATCATGGAACTGCAACACTTACAGCAACCAAAAACAATGTTACTGAAAAGCTACAGAATGTGGGGTTTGCATTTTCCCTCTCTTTATGTATTTTGCAGGACTTTGCACAATGCTTATCTACTTCTCTGACAATTTTTCCTGAAGAATTAGAGCTAAAGAAAAGGCTCATTCAAGGCACCTTGGATTACTGTGGGAATTTAGTCATAACTCTAAGCATTCTGGTAATAAAATATGAAAGGTGAGGTAATTTCTCAAGCAGGCACAGCTGCCATCAAGATTACTTTCACGTTCCAAAGAGACTGTGAATCAAATGCTATACTGGGAGAAGAGCAGAAGGGATATTCCAGGGAACTCAGAGGACTAATTCACCAGCTGTTGTTTAATCACTAGAATGCTGTTTCTTTTCCACAGAAATTCAGTATACTCATCAACAAGCAGGATTATTTCAACTATCCTGTGCTTCAAAAGTATTTACAATATACCAGAGGCGTGTACATGATCTGACACAAGTGAAAACTGAACAGCACAACCAGCACAAACCTGCAGAGGCGCCTTCCCTTCCCAAAGCCTCTCAGGGAACACCAAACACCCATTCACACACAGAGCTGAGGGCTAACAGCACAGCTTTTTCAAACAACACGGTGCTATCTAGGCTGAGAATAAAGAACAGAGAAAAACACACACCTGTCTGCAAGAACATACGGGTGAGATGTTTGCCAAGTGAGAGGCCGGAATTTCATAACCGAGATAAAACGCCCCAAATTGTGAATTTCCTGCTTTTGATATTCTCCATGAACCATCCCAGACAAATAAAACAACTTGGCACCCTAAACACATTAAAAAGACATAAAAACACAAAAAATTCTATTTAATACCCGATTATAATTTGTAAATCTTAACTGAAAATTACATTACAACTGGTTCTGAAAGATCAAACTAACCAGTTTACTTCAACATGAAAATTGTCCCTTAAATCTTAATGGGAAACTCTTCACATCCTCAAGACCTCAAACAGACCTACAAGCAGATCCTCCTTGCACAGCACCTGCATAACAAACCTAGTAGCAAATTTAGCAGCTCATCACACTGGGACAGAGAATAATCACACAAGTATTTTAGCAAACAGAAGAAAGATCAAACAATCTGATGCAGTATCAACATTGTTCACTTACCTATTTAAAAGATGTAAGAATATAATAAACACTTAAGTATTGACTCACTTTTAATTTAGCTTCCATAAAGCAAAATACATGAAAAAATTAATGTTAAATGTCATACCGGATACACTTCAGTCCAGAATCTGTGCTTTAACTTCTTTTTAGTCTTCTTTAATTGTTTGTTGTTCTTGAATGTGTCCAAGTGGGTTAGAACTCCCATAATTTTGGGGAAGCCATGTACCTGGCAAATGTTCAGGAATTCAAATGTCTCCATCTCAAATCCAAAGCTGGCATCAATGAGCATGAGAACCTGTAAATAAAATATTCACATTTCACTACAGCATTACCAGAGTGCCCACATGAGCTTATTTCAAAGACCACACTTTAAACTCTTAAGCTTCTCAGGGACCGAAATTTTGCAAAAGGTTCTCTACTTTATTTTTATATACCCTGAAAACCAACTTTGGCTTTTTATTTGAAGTATGGAACTTGGCTGATAAAGATGTTCTAGATGCTCTAGGAATGCAGTAACATTCAGTATTATTATAAGATCTGAACAAGTGTTTACCTGGTGAATTTAAAACATGCAAAATTGATTATCTTCCAAGATTTTCAGGAACATCTTAGAAAATTAATAAAATTTATTAAATTGAATTAAGAAAATTTTCACTTATATCTGTGTCTTGGATACAGTAATGCTGCTAAGGCCAAGTCTTTTGATAAATAAAACCAACTTTTTTCCCTTGTTGCAATTGCTTTTACACATCACTAAAATGCTCTGAAACAGCAGCCAAGAGTCACATGAAAATGGAAGCAAAGTTGATTTAGGGTTTTAACAATAAAGAACTTAAAGCATACAGGAACTGATGACAGATCTTCAAGCACTGATGTAATCTCAACCCCTTAACAATAAATCCAACCAGATTCTCAGCACCATGTGCACACAGAATCTGAAACATCCACCAAATATACCAGCAGAAGTATTTGTACTGTTTGGTACACTTCCCCTACTCAGTAGAAAACATAAAAGTAGAAGAATATCTAGATCAGTGTACACATGTATTTAGATATTTACATAGTTCATACTTAGACAAGGATCCCAATACCTAATCAGCTTGAATATTATACTCCAAATCCACATGTAAAGTAAAATTCTGAACAAAGGGATCATGCACTGGATCTCTAGGATCAGTTGGTGTAATCTCTTGATGCAAACGTTGCAAGTAAATTACAACAGTGATCACACCCCACTGAAATCAGCTGCATTACTACAAAACAGATGGAGACAGATACAGTCCTCAGGGTGCATAAAAAACCCCAACCAGTACACTAATACATACTTGCACTTTGAACATTATTGAAAACTTCTTGACTAAAACTCATTTTCAGATTTTATATGTTTAACCATATAAAATTAATGAGAAGCCACTGTGTCACCTTGGCCTGTAGTAAGATCTCCCACTAGAAGTTTACCAGTTGCATTAGCAATGAGCTCAGCAGCACTTCCCTTCTTTCACATCCCCCCCACCACACACATTTTACTTTCCCCCACAGGAGGAAAGTTCTGGGGTTGTTCCAGAACATAAGGTCTGTCAAAGAGCTCAGGTCTTGTTCTCTTTGAAACCAAAGACAGTCTTGCCTTTGATAGCAAAAAATGTGTAGAGAAACCAGACACTGGTGCAGTCCAATCAAAAGTAGCATTTTCAATATAAATTACAGCAGAAATCACATTCCATGTTAACTTACCAAATCAGCAACTTTAGCCAGGTCAATCATTGTGTTAATGTCACATCCACATTCAATAATTGTCAGCCGGCGTTTTTTACCTGAAAACAGAATTAAGCATCAAAAACTGCAACAGAGGGAGCAAACCAATTCAGACAGTTTTCTTTTCAGGTCACATTCCTGGAGCTCCTCCAGGGTATCTGGGACTCAGGCTCTTGTCTAGCATGTAAGTCATCCAACATGCATCACTGCAGAAGTTTCTCATTTTCCCTGTTTGTAATTTTTTAGCTTAAAATTATCCAATCTTCTTTTACTGTACATATGCCAGATCACACATCCAAATGGTATCTTCAAAATGACCAGAAATCATGAGAACATTAACACATCCCAGCTCTCAAAGCAAGACAAGTAAGCAGCACAAAAAGAAGCATTTCCATTTCTCCTATCTTTGTTCTCACCTGAAACAATTGTAACAGGACCCCGGATTTCAACCAGCTTTTGCCTTGTGAAGTTCTTAATGAGACACTTTATTACAGTGCTCTTCCCAACCTTGGGAGGGCCAACCACAACCACCACCACGGGAGGTGGCTCCAGAGGAGTCCGGTCAACCACGGGAATGTGATGCTTTTTAGTCTTCAGATCCTGAGTTCTGAGGAGAAATTTGTAATAAATAAATACAGGAATGTCACGGATAGTGGCATTTACTATTTGAAAGTCTTCAGTGTTTGCAAAGGCTTGAACACAAAACGGAGCACAAGCAGAGACACCAGGTATAGCTCCTTAAACTCCCACTGAGGAGCTATACTGCTTTTCTGCAGATTAACACAGTGTACAATGCAACAGAGAGGCACAAAGCACCCCACTGCCGACACACACACAAACTACAGCGTGACTGGGTGAATGATGAACCTAGGCAGACACACCAGCGAAAATCACACTCTGTGTATGTCTACACAAAGTAACAAAGAAAGCTCAGGCAACTCCCACCCCTCCAGCCGCCTCTGCACCTCCGGAGCCACTTCCCACTCCTCACCGATGGAAAGTCCTGGCCATCCGCACAGCCGACTGCACTGTAAAGGCTTTGGGGTTTCTCTTCCGTGCATTCTCCTCATCGCCTATTCCCAGGTCATTGAGATAACGTTTCCTTTTCTTCTCTGCCTTTGGCCCGCTATGCTTTGCACGATGCTTCTTCTTTTCTTTTTCCTCCATCTTCCCCGTTCAACAGCTGTTTACAACCAGCAGGATGCCGAGTTCCTCCGTGTGAGCAGCTGGCACAGGCAGAGCACAGTGAGCACGTGTGCACAGCGCACCAGCGGGAGAACACCGTGCAAGCACGAACACACCCAGCTCACGGGGCCCAGTCACGGCCTGCCCGGGCACGGCAGCCCCCGGGCCCCGCACTCCCGGCCCAGGGCCGCGGGCAGGCCGGCAGCGCCCCGGCGGTGCGGCCGAGAGCGGGGAGGGAGCAGCGGGCACAGGCGGGCCTCAGCCGGCCAAGGGCTCCTGCCGCGGGGCCGCTGCCCACGAGCGGCCACCACTCACCTGGGCCCTGCGTGCCGTCCCGCTCCCACACTGTCCCCTCTGGTCGGGTGCTTTCCCTCCGGTTCGGTGTTACCCCCCGGTTCGGTGCTGTTCCCCCGGTTCGGTGGTGTTACCCCCCGGTTCGGTGCTGTTCCCCCGCCCCGGTGTTATCCCCCCGGCCCACGTGTGCCCGCACCGACCGCTCCGTTGCGGAGCCTCCCTCCCGGAAACAGCGGCTGAGCGCGGAGTTCCGGGCGCGGCGGAGCGCTATTGCGGGCGCACACGGTGTCCCACAGCGGGAGGGTGGTGGCGGCGCCGCGCAGCCCGCACCGGGAGCGGGGACGGGAACCGGGAGCCGGCCCCTGTGCGCGTGTTCAGGAGTAAGTGACTCTCCTGCAAGCTCGGTGAAAGCCCGCGGTAGCTACCCGGCGGGGTCAGCCCACAGCACCCGGAGCGGAGGAGGCGTGGGGACCCTCAGCTGCCCGCGGGCTCGGGGCAGCCCCCGTACGAAGTGGCAGATGCGGCCTCAGCGATTACTGCGAGAAGGATAAAAAAATAAATCCTTGCCAAGGACTGTGGGAGGACGAACAAGTCACAGGGTAAAAGCTATGAAGGGCTTTTCCATGCAGTGAATTGTGAGGGAATGACGGAAACAATGGGGGTTTCAGCTGACGGAGCCCGTCCCGGGACCGAGCCCCGTCTGGCCAGCCAGGGCCGCGCTCCCTGAGCCCACGGGAACGGGGACTCCACCGCCTCCCCGGGCAGCCCATCCCGTGTCTAATCACCTTTTCTGTGAAGAAATTCTTCCTGATTTCCAACCTAAGCCTCCCTTGGTGCAGATTAACACAATGTCCTCTCCTCCTGTCCCTAATACGCCCTGGGGGCGTTTTGCAGGTACCAAGCCCTGCACCCACAGGGACATGACCAGGCACGCAGAGGGCAAGGTACCCAGGTGAGAAGTGAGCCATTGTTTTATCTCAGGTCTGTGCCCCGCCTGAAGGCCAGTCCCCTGAGGTGCGCTGGTGGTGCAGACCCTGCTCAATGAAAAAGGGTGATTCTCCTTACGGCATGAGCCAGCCATGAGGGGCAGGGCTGCTAACGAGGTGTCCGGCCGTGAACTGCTCCCTCCGTGCTGCTGGCCCCATCCTGCCTCCCAGGCTTCCAGCTGGACTTGCAGGGGCCGTGCCTGTCACACTATTCCCGCTGCTGGAGGAGGCGACTGTGAAGAAAGGAATGTGATTTCACGTTCCCACATAAGGAGGAGCTCGGGCCACCCTGCAGTGTCAGCCCAGCCTGACTAAAAGTGACATTGGTGAATTTGGATCCTTGCTGTCTCTTTGACAAGTTATCTAGAAGAAAATACATTTTTCAATATTTAGCATGTAAAATCCTCCCATCTTTTATAAACAGGAGTATTTTACAGGCAGTAGAAGAGTAGTTCAACTGCTGAGCACGTTTGGTCCCTGCCCCAGCATCACCTGATCACATGACAGCAGAGATGCTGTTGGCATGCAAGTCCAGGGGAGGCTGCTATACCATGGCTGTGGAAGTACCTCCTATGTGATGAATAAGCAGTCTCGTTAGGAAGGTATTATGAGGGAGAGGGTATATGTAAATAAAAAAAGTCTTAATGCGTTTTTTTCCAAAAATTTACTACAAGAGTCATATATATGATCATAAATACAATCTTTGTCCTTCACTCTCAAATACAACTTGTGTTCAAAGTGCCCTGCAGCTATTGTCTGAAGCCATATAGCTCTTCTGTAATACATGAGCTTCTTCCAGTCCTTTAGGTTAAGGCAGAAAAGTTACAGCCACAGATAAAAATTACTGACAAATTCAGGACAAATTTTCTGGACTTCTTGTGTACACACCTCCATAGACATTTTGTTCAGGGATATCAATTTTATTAATAAAATAATGGTCTGTGATTAAGCTTTATTTTCATTGTTTCTCTTGTTCTAGAAACAAAATAATTGAGTTAATAGCAAATTATTACAATCTAAAGCATACTTTAAAATATTCCAGAGACACATTTAAAACACAAAAATAGATCTGCATGTAGAGTTTTCAGCATCCTAGGCCTAATACTGCTTTAACACACATCCATGGCAGTTCTCCAGAGGTACACATGAAGAACCTTTCCATGATTACTGTGGTTTTCTGGATAACCATGGATCTTGAGAATTCTAAAAATAGGATCCATGTGCAAATGCAAAGATGAAACACATTCTTGTCTCCTCTGAGTGCAATTCTACAACTTCATGAAGGTAAAAAACCTTAATTTGGCAACTAGACAATCACAATTAAAAAAAAAAAAAGTCAATTTGCAAACAAATTACACAAAAATCACAAAAATATTGCCTTTTAAAAGACTGTCGTCATTTTTAAATGAAAACACTATATATTAAGTACCCAGGAAAAGACCATTAGTGTTCTTTATGAGGAACATACCTAAAATGCAAACACACCCAGTGCCACCACCAAGGCTGCTTTTCCCATGCTTGTACCCCTCTTGTGTTAATCCTTTCTCAACTAAAAGCTATAAATAAGTCTGTTATCTAGGATTCCTTAAGTTAAAATAAGTGAATAATGACCAGAATAGAAACAAAACTCAGTAAAGGCCACAAAAACACCACCCTAGTGCTAAGCCTCCTGGCAGAATTAATGCAGCACAGTCTAACACAGAGCTCCTCAGTGCTGACACACTTGTGAAGATCAGCCTGTGCATGCAGGTTAACGTCAGGCTGCCCGTAACCAAATGCTGCAAGGGGCTGGTGAAGGATGGCTTGGGGTGGGGAGGCAGCTCACAAGCAGCAGGTAGCCCTTCCTAACATGGCTTATCTTTCTTTCCCTCCTATACAGGGGCACGAAACTCAGAGCAAGCACTCTGCACCTAGACCTGCAAAACCTCTAGCCACTTCAGACAACACTGGCAACTGAGAAAAAAAAAAAAATCACATTCGTTTTCCATCAGGCAAGTGGACCCACTGCCAGTTTCATGTCTGACCCAATTGACAGACTGAATTCTGGCCACCAAAAGCAGAAAGGTAACTTTTTGTCTGACCTTGCTCCATATTTTGCTCATTCTCAAACAACAAATCTAACCCTATTCCCAAAATTTCATTTCTCATGCCCAGCCAATGAGGGTCATAGTCATTTACTGTCTCCAGCAGCTGCTGCTCATACAATGGGGCTGGAGTGGCAAGTGCAGTTTGATACCCCCCTTCATGCTTTGGAAGTACCAAAGGAGGACTAGCATTACTAGCTGCAAGCAGAGGTGAGCTGTGCCTCATCTGCTCGGGCTCAAGCTTAGGTTCCCCCCCATCAAAACTGCAAGTGGAGCCCTTCCCAAAGGGAGGAGTGCTTGACTTAGCATACAGACAGTTCTCAACACCCAGGCCCTGGTTAGCACTGCAGTAGTTTAAGACAGGCTTCCTGTACATGTTCTCTTTAGCTGCTGGGTGTTGGTGATCTGTGCAAGGCTGGAAAACATCTGCATCTGAGTAGCAGCCTTCAGGGAAGGATTTCTTCAGGTACGGATACTCCTGTGCCTGCTGCACAGGGAGCGAGAACGGAGGGGCACTCCCCACGCTTCCCGCACCTAGTGGGACCCCTCTTCCCGAACAATCCAAACCGAAGTCAGCTGGGGTCTGACCCAGCGCTCCAAAAGTGTTATCCAAGCTCCTGAAATGCATGTCGAGCCTTGAGTACGGCTGCCCCGAGTAGAACGGCGGCTGACCACCGAAGCTCTGGCTCCCTCCTGGCAGGCCTGGCTGCGGGCAGAGAAGGTTCCGCTCTGTCCCCGGGCGCTGCTGCGCCCGGGGCTGCTCCTGGCCAGCGCACCGGGGCGGCTTCGGCTTGCTCGGCCTGGCGTAGGCGGCGGCCTCGCACTTCTTGTGGTTTAGCTGCCGGGCTCTCCGGTTCTGGAACCACACCTGCGGGACCGGCAGAGACTAAGCACCCGAGCCACCGGGGAAGCCGCTCCGCCACCCGCCCGTCCTCCCTGCCCGGACCGCCCCTCTCACCTGGATCCGGGACTCGGGGATGTTGGTGAGGCTGGAGAGCTGCTCCCGTAGGGCGATGCCGGGGTACGGCTCCTTCTCGAAGGCGCGGACCAGCAGCTCCAGCTGCGCTTTGCTGAAGGTGGTTCTCTTGCGCCGGCCGCCCTCCCGCCCCGAGCTGGGGCCGGCGGGGCGCGCCCGGGGCTCGCCTGCGGGGAGAGAACGGGGAGCGGCGGTCAGCGGGGCCCGGCAGCGTCCTCCTGCCCCAACGCCGCCAACACCGCCACCAACACAGCTACCACCAACACTGCCACCAGCACCGCCACCAAGACCCCCGCCGCCTGCCCGCCCGGCGCGGCTCACCGGCGGGTCCGGGGCTGGGGGCCAGGCTGGCGGAGGGGAGGCTGGCAGGGGCCAGGCTGGCGGGGAGCAGGCTGGCGGGAGGCAGGCTAGCGAGCTCCATGCGGGCCGAGGTCTGCGGGCGGTGTAACGGCACTGGCAGCTCCGTGCCTTAAAAGCCTCCACCCCGGCCTTTAGCGACCCCCACCCACCCGGCCCGGCCCCTCTGCGGCTCCGAGGGTGACTCAGAGCTGTCTCCCACACCTCCATTGTCATCCCATCACCAAAATACACATAATGAGGGCTCGCCCCATCCAAGGAGCCAAAGTGTCTCCCAGCGAAGTCCCCGCTGCTGCCACCAACCCATCCACCTTTCTTTAATTCAAATGGAGAGCAAATAATTTAATGAAGAGATCCCTCCGAGGGAGCTCCCCTTCTCTCTGCACTGCAGGCCTGGAGCTCTGCTGGAAACCCGGTGCTCCCCCAATGCAAGGAGGCCTCCATACCACCCGTCTCCTAAAGGCAAGCCATCCCAGAGCTTACTGTACCCAAGTGACAAGTCCTTGTCTTCCCCATTTGGTTACCCTGCTCCTATTCCCATCCATGGGACATTTCTCATCAGCTTTACTGCAGGAAATAAAATGCTGGTGGCTTTACTAGACGTTGCATCCACACCCAATGTTCACAGCAAAGAACAAAGCTTCCCTCATCACACTCAGGTCATCCAGGTCAGATGGAGCAGTCTCCCTCCAGAGTGCACGCTGAAGAGCTCAGCAAAGGTTTTCCTTTCCTGGAGGAGCTTGCTTTCGCTCCAGACTGCTCTGCTCATCCAAGTCAGGTACAGAACAAGCAAGGTCTGTGCTATCAGCCCAAGGTGAAATCATGAACAGCATATTAATTCAAAAGAGTGGCCAGAAATATCATTTAAGAGAGCCAAGAGTGACATAAGGGACTTACAGGGAGCAACAGTTGCAACACTGAAAAGGATTAGATGTTAGAAGAGAAGCAAATCAATTAGTCAGTGTAATAATTTGTCAAATGAGGCCACTAATGGCTGTCACTGAAGGTGTTCAAGAACAGCAGCATCATTACATCATTTGTTTTTCATCTCAACTTGTCCCCATTCGTTTTTCAGACTTGGGACCTACTCCAGCTTGCTGTGATTCTGAAGGGTACAGGGACAAAGTGTGTGTGAGCTGGTACACACTGTTTGCATTCTGTAGGGACCAGTGCACCCATCATCCATGCTGCCACTTCTGGGTTGAGCTGCACAAGGGTTTTAGCATTACACACACCATCACAGTGCTTCACAACAAAAAATTCATGTCCTTCCACACAGGGATGACAGTCAGGGCTGACTCCTGTGAGTCTAGTACTCCGGAGACTGGATTCCTTTAGCAGCTCGGTCCATAAGGCAAGGTACATGCCTTCACTAAGCCTAAATAATATATTCAAGCAGAAGTGCATATGTATCTGAGTGCTCAGATACAATAAGCAGACTTATAAAGCTTGGGGGCATAGTTTTATTGAGAGTGTTCACTACAGCAAATTCGGCTTCAGCTATTAGTTCTTGTTCTAAGCATGCAGGCTTCACCTCTAGCTGCCAGGAAGTCCTCACAGGGCTTTGCACCCAGTCATGCACAAGCCATCTCCAGTGCACTCTGGGCTAACAAAGTTCGTGCAGCTGCTCCTTCAAAAAAAGCTGATCACTTTTTTTTTTTTTTTTTTTGACCAGTTTAGTTTTTGGTGAACTTAATACAAGTATCAGCATGGGACAGGGATGCACAGAGGCAAAGGGTAAGAGAGAATCAGGGAGCCGCAATTTGAACCAGCACAATAAAGTATGGAATTGCATATGACCTTTCCATCTCTGCAATTCCAATACAATTGTCCATGGGGTGCATGCTACACTGGATCAAGGATGCCAAGGATGTTTGCAGGGTACAAAGAGAGATTACTTATTCAGTCTGCACAGAGGGAATGCTGAAACAAATGCTCAAAATTTTCTTTCTGGATTTCCAGTTTTCATAGCAGAAAAGATCATCTCATGGGACTGACTATAGCACAAAGCTGCCCCTGTAGGCAGCCTGCAATATTGAGCTCAAAAGAGCAGGGAAACCTCCTCTTCCAACACACACATACACACCTTATAGACACAGCCAGTGCAGAAGAGATAAGAAGGAGCCAGCAGAGGCTTGCACAGACTTGCACTGCTTGCTAACAGTGACTGTCCATCACTGCTAGCTCGGCTCAAATAGAACAGCTTTTGTTAACATCCCCTAGCATAGAGAGAGCAGTTCACACTTCCCGGAGTTATTGTTTGAGGAACTCGGCCAGGCAGCCTCTTTACACCCTTCATTTTCAGAGATTTTCTTTGCAATGCTAATCGATAGAGATTGCGAGTTTTGTTTTTAAGTCAGATTCCAGGAAAGAAGATGACAATCGTTGCCTCTCCCTCCTTTTCCTCCTTTTATGCTGAGGCATGTGGACTTGGCCTAACATAAGAGTTAATTTCTGCCACAGCTGCAGTTTGACCATACACTAATCAAGAACAGTGACCAGCCCTTGCTGCCCTTGTTCCTTGATGTTCCCTTGGCATCCTTATGCTGTTGCATGTCAGTAATAATCAAAAGAATTGTTTGTCAGCTCCTGCACCTCCTCTCTGAATTCCATCAGGAAAATAGTATTCTGACCCCTACTTTTGATTCATTTCACAAATAGAGAAATGGGAGAAGTGTGGGAAAAGAAGCAGGAATACCCAAAGCAGCATGCTTAACAAAACCAGCATATATTTGGTTCACAGATTGTCTTCAGACTTCCACAAAAATCCACGGAATTTTGCTATAGATTTACATGGAGTCCAGATGTGGAAACCCATTCAGCCGGGGTTCCTTTATGCCCTTTGTGATACAAGTGCAGCTACAGAGGAATCCAAATCACAGGTGGGATATGCTGAGAATAGAACAGAAATTAAGGATACGTAAGTAAAGTGTATTTAGGAGCAACGACATAATTATTAGACAAGGACTAGCCTCAGTGCTCTTTAAAATGGCTCTCGAAAAAGTGTTTGCACCAATCCTATGCAGGGCGCTGGAAGCAGCTCTGTTCTCTCCCTCCAGAGCAGCCTTCATGTCGGGAGCTTTGGTGGCCCCAAAGTGATGCTAGCATGGAGAATATGCTGAATCACCCAGTGCAGCAGGGCTCTGTCACCAGGCGCCTGCCTGGGGAGTCTTAGGAAAAACACCCTTCAGAAATCCCTACATCAAACATTTTCTAGGGCAGTACAGAGCTATTGATGTTTGAGCAGAACTTTCAGCCCGAAGGAGGCAAGATCAATTTCACTAGTTGGTCTTCAGACATTAACACCTCATAAAAACGGTGCTCGTGCCCTGCTTATCTGGAATGTGTCCTTAATTATCTTTTGGTACGCCTTTTGCAGCCCATTACTTACCAGTCAACACTGCTTTAATTATGGGCTTGGCAGTAACAGGCAGCTCTTACATCGTTGAAATAAAAATGCCAGAAAGCAACTCGGGAGAATTGCAAAGAGATTTCATGTTCAAATGGAAAACTGTGGAATTCAGCAAAGGGACATGGATTCTCATTCACAAAGATTTCATAGCATGAGCAGTACTCTCATGGCCAGGGGCACCCAGGAATCCTCCAGAGAACATGAGCAGACAAGTGATGGTTGTGCTGTCCCCTGTTCCTCAGGGAAAGGAGCACTCCCAGCAGCCCCACTTGCTTTGAAAAGTAGTTCAGTGTCCGGACATGTCCAATTCCCTGGGGTGCCAGAAGGATAAGCAGGATGGAGGCACATTTTGGACCTTGAGCAAAAAGAAGGCAACATTTATGACAATCCTTGCTTTTCAAGAGTATTCATTCCCCAGTTCAGAACTGGCTCTTGAGAAAGCTGTCACCTACATTGAGCTTTTCCTAACAGTAAGCACCTTGGTTATGCCAAGGCATTGCTCTAGACTTTTCTCCTACCAGAAATAGATGTTGCTTCTAATGCTTGAAGGTGTGGGCAAAAAATATTGCTGAGAACACCGTGTACTTTTGGGGCATATCAGTCTTGCTCTAGTTCACACGAAAATTTATAGATTTCAAGATGAGAAATGCATTAGGCCCATTTCAGATAACTTGGAATAATATTACACTTCAGTATTTCTTATATTTGAATAAATACAAGAAATAATTTAAATAGTTTATGTCACTGATTGCAATGCTCTGAAATCCAGGGTAGTGATAAAAAAAGCTCCTACCTACAAGACTGAATGTCTGTCTTGCCTGATATTTAACTCTTCACCAGTGACAAAAATTAGATACCTGCCAAAGGAAGGTAGGAATCTATAACCAGCTCAGTAAATTACATACTGGTACTTTTACTTGGAAATTATGATGAAGACCTTGGTCATTTTCAGCCCAGAGTTTCTATTTTGTGAATTTATCCAGTCTTTCTCGGAATGTATGTAAAATTGTAGCTTCTTGAGCATCCTCTCACTAGGACATGTCACATGAAACAACACTTAGTTTTCTGTGTTCTGAACATGCAACTTGCTAAAATCATTTGGCTTCCTGCCACCCACCCAAGAATGTGGAGTGACCTTCACTGATTCCAGCAGTTCACACTGACCATTTTTTCATAAAACCCCTTCACTCTCTACCCCTTCAGCCACCTCATTTCCAGACTGAAGAATCCCATCTTATTCATGCTAGCTGCTCCATGCCTTTGTCATTCACATTTTCTTTTCCAGAGCTTTTTCTGGTTATGCTGTGTCCTTTATGAAAAAAGAAGATAGAGTGACTATCAGAATTTAAGATGTAGAGGAATAATGATGTTTTAACTATTATGAAGGTAATGTGCAGGTTTTTTTCCAGTGCTTTCCTAACAACTAATATTTGCTTTGCCTTTTTGACCCTCACTGAGCTTGCATTCTCATAGAATTATCTATCAAACTCCAAAATCTCATTTCTGTATTGTAATGGTAATCTGCTGTGAAACCTGAAAACAGTTCCTTACTTGTACTGTCACTATGCTGCCTGCTGGTGAGTTTTTGAGTCCTGTGGCAATCTTGAAAGAAATTGTCATCCCTATCAAAGAGAAGGCTGCCTTAAATTTTAAAGGAAGTAAGACCCTAGATCATACCAAAGCTAAAGTATTTGTAAAAATTGTGTATTTTATGAAGTGGTAGTCCAGCAGTACCCAACACTGTTCATTTTTTCTGGGCAGTAGAAAAAAAGTCTTGGAAGATGGATATAGGATAGCTAGGAAAGTGGTGATCAGTGCCCCCAGCCTCGTGCAATACAGTGTCTCCTGCTCTGGTAGAGGAAAAAATCTGTGTTCTGTGGGACAGACCTGCCTCCCACAGCCACACATAACACTGATCTGCAATTTGGACAGGCTGAGCCTGAGTCTGTAAAGGGTTAGGATGACAACAGGGAAGGACAAATGCACAGAGCAGAGTCCACACCAGTGCAAGAATGGGCTGGAGTAGGATTTCCCTGTTCAATCAGCCTAATGAATAGATTATCAGTGTTCTTGACCTTGTTGAACACACAGTAGAAAAGCCACACGGCCATGCAGTCGGAAACCTGTGGTCAGTAAAATCCTGCCTCAGGAAACATTAAAAAATTGTGGATAAAATATCCTCCAGAAATCCAGCCTGGGCCTCCAGAGGGTTACTGAGCACAATTCAGTCTGGCCAGCCCTCACTTGCTGCAGCATCACTGAGATAAATATGATTTCCTTTAAATGTCGTGGCATTTCATGCCCAGTAAAGTCAGGCTTACAGGCTACCTTATTTTATGGTAATCCTTTTCTCTGTAGTCTGTGCCATCTCCTTCCCTGTCTCCTTTCCTTTCTGAGAAAGCGTCTGTCATCATCCTCACCCGTGCTGTTCATGTAACTGCAGCTATATCCTGTGACTGATCAGCTCCAGAAGCAGTACTGGACTCTTAGACCTGAGAGGATCAGACCTCTGAAATGCAGATGTTTTAGGGAAAGGACTATCTTTTTCTTCTGTTGACAGAATACAAGCACAGCAAGTGATACTACAGAAATACAACAGATCTCAACATGGTAGTCTGCTGAACTTGATTATGATAACTAGTCACCTAAAGACCAGTGAATTTGGCCTTAAGGCTAGTCTGCTGGGACTGGAGACAAATTGTCTGGAGTCTTCTCCCTGTTTAGAGAACTATTGCTCTAACCTCCCTTGTCAATCCTATTCCTCCTCATCTCCCAAATAACATCCCCACCCATGTGGCTGTAGTGAAACATGCTTCCCACCTATCTCAGCCATCTGCTAGTGAGTGACCCCATTTCTTTACTAGATCTGTGCTGGCTTTTTTCTACTGCATCTGATTTTTCCATCACAATATTCCTATTCCAGACACATAGGAAAAAATATTCAGGACTATAAAACTGTGTCAATTGATATGACTTGTTCATTAACTGAGAAGCACAGAAAAGATCCATTAGTTGGTCCCAATGGACCCTCAAGAACAGTAAACTAAATGGAAGCCTTTCCTTTTTCTCAACACTGCACTCTGTGATTACTGCCATACCACTTGGCAACATAAGGCAGCGTCTTTCCCAATAGGAAGCAGTAATAAAGAGTTAGGAATTCCTTCAGAGAGAAAGAAGAAATAGTGTCAGATTCCAAACACTATGTATTAAAATACACATGCACTGTCATGAAGTGGTTAAAGGCATCAGAATGCTGAGGGTTTGCTGGAGATGTACTCCTTCATCCTGTTATAACCAGTGAAAGTGCTGTAGAATGCTGGTGTGCAGAGTCATGGCACTGGGCCTGTATGAAATATGGTTTTGAATAGTCTAAGCTGCTCAGAGTTTTCCAACATGACTAATATGAATAAGGCTGTCTGTCATAATTTATCCTTGCAAAGTACATTCAGTTTTATCAAATATCCTCCCCAAATGACATAAAATCTTTCTTTGCTCCCATACCTTCAAAAAAACCTTGTAAAATGCTTGTAGCTCTTATCCAATTTTTAAAATTCCACCAGATCCATGTAGCATAAATCCAACATTTATAAACTGAGATTTCAAATGGATGTTAGTTGGTAATATTTCATATTTTTTTTTAAAGCTACCTCCCATAATCAAAAAAGGCATCAGAGATGTCCACAAAATGTTTTTTGTTGGACTCAAGTTACTGACTTCCAGCAGATATGGGTAAAAACAAGTAGAGAACTGTAAACTGCAGAGCTGTGGTCAAAACTGAAGCTCTCTGTGCAACCTGGACTTCAAACTGGTGAGCCTTGGCTGTCTCTTTACAAAGGCTTATTAAGGCAATGTTGGTTGAAGCACATCACGATAAAGGTGGCTGTTTCACCTTCCTCTTTAATAAGAGAAAAAACCCCACAGTGATATTGTTAGGATGAGCATTGGAACTCTGACATAAATTCACCTCTAAAATGCACAAACTGAATTTGTAGTAAAATCAATAAGAATTTAATATGTTTATAACTTATAGGTGTAACTTAGTTATTAATCTTTGCAAAGAATAAAGTATTTAGCTGGGACCTTTATAGCTGACAATGTCCAAGACTTGAATTATGCTCATAATTGTGTTTAAAATGTGATAGAAGAGCAGTAGTTTTATCAAATGTCCAAGGAATCCAATGAGAAATGAGAAGGATGCAGCAGACCTATGCAAAAGTTAACTCACTCCAAGCTGCAAAGGCTATTCACCACAGTGTCAAACAGAATTGCTATAGCACATTGTTTCCTATTATGCACATCTCATTACACTCAACATTTCCTGTAAGTATGGGAATCTGTTGAAAATCTTGTCCATTAACCTCAAGAATTTAATCCTTGTCAAATTGCAACACAAAATATTTTAAAAGACCATACTTTTCCTTAGCTTCTCTAGTCTTAGAACTAAAAGATTAAGGTGATACTGTTCTGAGTCCCCACTAAAAATTAAAAATGACAGGTTAATTAGCTACATTAGGAACCAGACATTGCTTGCAGTGGTTTCACTATAGCACTGTGCCATTTAGTTCTGATTTAAAAAAAAACGTCCTGTTGATAATTCTATTTCCTTAGGTGACTTTCCCTGAACAGATGCCATGTCTTTTATACCAGCTTCAAATCCAGTTTAAAATAGGCTCCAGTTTATTTCCACATAACTTCCTAAGAAAAGCCCAATCCCTAAATCCTTACTTATAAAGCAAGTTGCTGTTTAAACAAGTCACCTCACTGACTCTAGCATGATGACTCATGCCATAAAATTTGTTCTGAATTTGACTAATCCTCCCCCCCCCCCTTTTTTTTTTTTAAGGAATTTTAAAAGACAGAGAAGAGCTAACGTGTCTCTATCTATTCTCTGGCATCCACCGGGAACACCAAACAAAAGAGGCCGACTACCTGGCAAATACCCTTTGTACTTCCCGATGGAAGTAAGATAGCCAATATCTCTAAGTTAGAGATAGCAAATGTTTCTAAACTGAAGAGGCAACAGTTTTCTAAGTAGAAATCTTAGAAGTTATGGTGAAATAGCTTTATTTTCTGTAAACTCAGCAAAGTGAATTTGTTCTGCATTTTTTTCAATAATTCACATAGCAGTGTTTGGGATTTGTTGTTTCCAGTTTAGATTATACCTGTCAATAAATGCAATTCACTGACAAATAACTTTTCCAATGCTGAAGCCACAAAGATAACTAATCTGTCAAAAAATATGAGGGCAGAATTGCAAACCTTTGCAAAATATGATAGAGCAAGCTTTTCAGCTACTCTGGGAAATTACTCCCTCAAAATTAGTCATCAGATTTATCTAACACCTAAGAAACACAAGAAAGATTAATCACTGAAAGCTGTGGACTTTCTGTTTTATGACACCTTCAAGGTAAGACAAAATGCCCCTTGAAGCTTATCCTGTAAGTGCAAGTCACTGACCTCTATTCAGAGAAACAAGGTAATATTAAATGGCGTGTGCTGGCCAGACTAGATGATGCTACAGGTAATCTGGCTTTAAATTATTAAAACTGGAACTATATTCAGCTTCTTAAATACTCTAAAGACTCCTCTCTTTGTCAAGAGAAATAGCCTGTTTTAAAAAGTCAGGCCGAAGACACTGTCCCGTATCAGAAATGGAATCTCTGAATGTCCAGCCCCCCAGAAAGGCCTGAGCAGGGAGTTGGCTCCATGAACTATTTCACATTCAGGTCCAAGGCTGCTGAGATGCCAGGGCTGGTAGAGCTACCCATGACAGCCAACAGGGCCGGCAGCGAGCGGGGCTGCTGCCCCATGGGAAGCTGGAAGAGTATCACCTAATAAAAAGATATATCAATTATTTTTGGCAACAGAGAAACAAAAGTAAGGCAGCTCCCTGTCCCCTGCCCACGGTGCGGGCGGTCCTCACTGGAGTGTGTCCGTACGGGTGACACGACACGGTCTCTGACCCCGCCTGGCCACCAAGGCCAGTGTAAGGAGGCAGCCGCGGCCTTTGCTGTGCATGCACCGCCCTCTGCAGTCACCGCCGCGCCCCCCCCCCCCAGCGCAGCCCTGCAGCGCAGCCCTGCAGCCCTGAGCCGCTTTTTGACTGCATTCCCAAGCACGGCCTTGCTGTGACCGCGGTGATGGTCCTGGTGCGGGACAAGGTGGGCTCTCCTTGTGCGGGCCAGGCCCAGGCTCTCCTACCGCAGAGCTCGGCCCGGATCAGGATCTCAGCTCCACCTTTGGGCATGGCATTACGGGCAGGCAGAAGCAATTGTGTACAATGTTCTAAAGAGGAAGAAATTAACGAATAGGTTACTAAAAAACAAACCAAAGCAAAGCAAACAAACGCGGGAGAAAAAAACCACAAAAAGTTTAATTTCATAAAT